ATTAACGAGTCGAACACGAGCTTCTTAACGAGTCGAACACGAGCCGTTTTGACAGCCCTACTTACATAACACTCAATTCCTACGCATTTAAATATCTAACACCTAAATTTTAATTTTAATGTTATTTTATCATTGCATGAAAACTTATATTTCACGTTTTAAAAATAGTGATATTTTATATGATATAGATGATTTTGGTGGTATAATGTAAGAAAAGAGAGTTTAGGTGTAATGTAAATAAATAAAATTGGGTGGCATGTATGTAAATTGAATTTATTTATAATGTTTTTAATGTGATATGAGTGATTTGGGTAGTATAAATGTAAAAAATAGAGTTTAGGCATTAGACATGTAAAATACATAAAATTGGTGGTATAAATGTAAAAAGATAAAATTTCCAGTTTAGGGGTCAAACCGGTTGATTTTTGCTAGTTCCAAGCCAGTTCAAACTGGTTTGATGCGGGGACGGTTTTTAAGCCAGCCCAAACCGGACCACCGGCCGATTCACGATTCGAACTGGTCGAACCGGCTAGCCGGTTCGGTCCGGTTTATAAACGTTGATTGCATCAAGTAAGAATCATCTTAACAGCCAAAAATAATAAACAGTAAATACTCCTCACTAATCAAATATTCTATCGAAATAAAAGGTAAAACAAGCCTGCAAAATGATTTATTTCATGCAAATCAGACCAACCTACTCACATTGAGGTAAAGCGTCCACCAGAAGAGCCATGAATCTTTTTTATTCATCCGAGCAAGAGACTGCACATGCAAAAATTTCAAACAAATAAAATGTTTATGACAATATAAATTAATTGAATGACAAATCATATAGAGTTTTAAGCACCTCTTGATCCAAGCATTCAAATTTCCATACACTCTCCCCTTGTTCGTTTATTTCATTCCACCATCTCAAACCAACCAATATCCGTCCACTAACATTCTTTACAACCCAGAAATCAAGAGCCGCCAAAAAGACAGTAACCACAAAGATAATAACAAAGCTACTGAAGAAGATAGCTGAGAGGATGTAAAAGGCCAATGCTGCAGCCTGGTGCCGTCATGAGACAACAGATGAGCTCACAAAAATAGCAGATGCGCAGCAGTTCAAAGCATCAAAATGAAACCCCAAAATGCGTACCTTGAAGAGAACATGAAAAAGACATGTCTTGGGGTTTGCGTAGTTTTCCCTGGTCTCCTGCATGAGCAAATCAAAATGTTAAACATCCAAATGAAATTTTTGGAGTCTTAAAATCATCAGCACAGTTTGTTATCTTGACAAAAAGGCCAATAAATCTTAATTCGTGTGCAAGGCTATAGTTTTCATTTCTTGACAAACAATAATTAAAATTAGAGGGATGAAAATACATAGCACACAAAACTCATCCGCTCACATATTTAACAACTAAACTTCACTATTACTCACATAACACTCAAAACTTCAAATAACATTAAAAAGAATACTTAACTCAAACTCTCTGTTACCATTTTCTCCCCATCGCCAATCTCATTGCCTTTTGCCACTACACATGTCGCTGGATAAGCGAATCCCCTTCCCCAACCTCATCACGACCCTTCCCAATGAGATCCTCTAGAAAATTTCTCATCCACAGCTTCCTTGGTCCATCGTGACCCCCCTCCATCACGACTTCCTAATCTAGACAAGCCTCAACGAGAACCTATCATGGCTTCCTCATCCTGTCATGGTAGTTTCTAGCCCGATGAGATCCTGTCGCCTTTCCTTCTTTGGTGATGGTTTTGTACATTAACTAAGGGTAAGTGAGTGTTATATTTCATATATAATGAAATTTAGGTGCTAAATATATAAATCAATAACATTTGAGTGATATGCATGTAAATCCTCTTTAAATTAAATATTATAGTAACAAGCTAACCCCAAGATCTCCTTCCTCTTTCCTCTTGCTTGTGAATTGTCCATGCCATCCTTAAGAATAATTGTCGATGCAAAAGAACAAGATTGCTCATGCCAACCAACTTGAATGGGATCCGATTTGATCAACCGAGTCCCTCCAAGTTTGTTTTACTTGGATAAGATATTGTATGAGTCACCAAAGGGTCTTAAGGACCTTGCATCCCATAGATTACATGTTATCGACCAATGCATATATCCCATAGCTCAGTTTAATTTAATACAACAATGATGAAGAACGAATGTATCATATCTCAAGACTGGCCATCAATAATATTTAAATATCTCCCTTTTCACAAACAGAAAATGTTTTTGCATATGGGACTACAAAATTATCTTAAAAGAACCCTCACGATACATTCAATAAAACACAACCAAAACAATAGATTACAGACACAATGATGTGCAAACATACACAAACATCGCCCATTTTGAAAAATTAATTGTCCCAACGTGCCCGAGATATCAAAAATACCTCATAAAAATAAATATATTACATAGGTCACTATAAAAAGACAAAACGCAAAAAATTGGCTACACTCGAGGCAACAAAATGCAATTTGGGATGCGCGAGTAATGAGAAATTGTGCTATTTATTTTGCATAATTATTTTTTCCTATAATTTTTATTCGATTCGATTAATGAAAAAATAAAAATATAAGGAAACTCAAATTTATTTCAATCGCATCTCATCAAATCCTTGAATTCTTGTTGATTTCAATCATTGGTGTCATTGGTGTCGTATTCAACTGTCAATCCCTGATTAATTGAAAAAAAATTATAATAATAATTACAAAAAAAAAAGAAAAAAAATCCTCGCCCGCAAGCTCTCTATTCCTCTCCCAGACTGCTCCAGCCGCTCAACCTCTCCTAAATTCTCTTACCCAATCTCTATTCCTCTTCCACACTACATTTCCACACATATAAGCTTCCTATGATTACTCTCAAAATATCTCATATTGATATAGCAAGTGTTCTCTGGCCATATTGATTTGCTGCTAAATAACACCATAAAAATTATGGTTATGACAGAGGCCCTCAAACTAGATGATTCACAATAAAATAGCATTATGAAATTACAGTTAAGATAAGAACCTACAAAGTTTTCTAAGTAATAAATCATGAAGTACAATTGATAAAGCACAAAATCCTTTAACTAAAATCTACTTAAAATTGTTCCATTAAACGAACATGCATCAGGTCAAAAATTTTCTCTTATGCGGCACAGTGCTGCTAGCAAGGACCTTTCAATCAAATTAAATAGACTACATCCAGCAACTAAGGGACTATTGGGACCGTTTTTTTTTTTTTCTTTAAAAAAAAATAATAATAATAAATGTATTTGTTTTTGTTTTTTGTTTTGTTTTAAAGGTGTTGTTTTTAACCATTTAGAAAAAGTGAAAAACTCATAAATTGTGTTTTTGGTGGGTTTTTAAAACAACTTTTGGCTATCCCGATTTATTTTTAGAAAAATACAAAAACATAAAAACTCCTCATCTCTCCTTTTTGAATGATGTCAACCTCCCGCCGCGGAGCTTATAGTTTCCCACCGCGACCCATCCTCCTCTGCTTCTATCCGAGAAGCTAGGTCGAAAACCCCACCGTTCGCCTTGACCCACACTTAATTAGCAGCCACTACCATCTCGAATGAGTTCACCACAACCAGAGAACATCTCCAAGAAAAAGGGGAAAGAAATTACGGGAAAATAAAACAAGGAAGATGAATGAGAGGTCTCTGGTACCGTCACTGCAGCAGTTGTGAATTATACACCAAAAAAATCATTTTCGGCAAACTTTTAGCCTTTGTATGCTACAGTCAGCTTCATCACTGCCGTTGCTGTTAATTCTCCACCAAAGAATCCATTTCCGGCAAACTCTTAGCCGTTGTATGTTACGGTGAGCTATCTCACGGTTCAACCAAGCACAAGCTATGCTTCTACATAGTGCTGCTGCCGGAGATGTCTTCCAACTACACCTATTACAGCAACTCAAATGCATATGAATACCAAATATATTTTTTATTTATTGTTTTTAAAAAAAGAAAAATTATAAGAGTGCCAAAACATTTTTTAGTTTTATCTTAAAACTAAATAAACAAAATAAAAGCAAAAACAAAAAATAAAAAACTGAAAGTGATCCTATATGAGCCCTCAGGAAATCAGAGCTTATGATATCACACTAAGCATAAACCTTAGCAAGGTGTCTCAGCTCACAAAAGCAACTGATACTGCAAACAAGACTGGTAAAGTGCATTATATGCATCCAAAATAACTTTTTTTTTACTTCAAATGACTGTTGATGCCCTAAATATAACTAAGGGATGGTCAATGTTCTTTCCTCAAAGGGAATAATGGTGGCTACTACGTTGCATTTAAGTGGGGATTGCCCCTCTCATCTAATTCAGACAACATATCATATGTCATTTATGTTGGAGTTCAATCCAATCTCCTCCCATGCATCTTCTACTAATTCTAATACTCCCAACGGCCTCCCATTACGGCATTTGTTCTAATTGCCCTCTCCCATTTCTAATTGCCCTCTCCCGCTTTAGATGTTTGCAAACTCATTGCACCATAACCAACAAACCCAATGTTGTCTTTTACATGAGCCGGCCTTAGCCTCCTCCCCATCATGCTTTATTAACCCTTGACCACATGCACCACTTATCTTCTCTATAATTCGTTCAAGATATCTCCCAACCCTAATTTTCTGTCACAATCTCCTAAGCCCTCTAGCACCATCCTAATCAATAACTCAATAATATTCCCACACCATGACCACAACACCTCCACTTCACCAAAACTAGTTTGCCACCACGAGTTGGTGATCACCCGTATCTCTTCAAGTGACAAGACCTCATGTGAACCTAATAACTATTATAAATAATGTTACCTCCTTGTTATCCTAGTCAGCGAAAAACCTTGATATCAGGTTTGTTGAGATTGGAATGACTACATTTTATAATATCTAATGCTAAAATCTTATTTTGCGCTCTTTAGAAAATATGGATGACTGAACGACATTATAACTCGTATGCTTGACTGATTTTGAAAAATAATACTTTTTCTTTCAGCAGGATTTGATATTTCCAAAAGTTTTGATTATACGCCAAAATTAAAATTGCTGAGCCACAACCGACATCATTTTTTAAAATTCTTCAGTAATTGACGAGCAAACCAATATGGCCGCTTTAATGCCAATGATGATAGAACATTATTACATTGGTGACATTGATTTGTAGTTATTTCACTCATTAAATGTTACGGACAATGATTGTAGATGGAAATTTTTGATGTGATATATAATGTTCTATGAAATTAATATTAATTTGCCTCTAACAATTCTGTGATTTTAGAGTTTTTACCAATACTTTGGACATTGGACGTCATCCCGTCATTATCCATTTATTACACACAACATTATAAGCAAATCATGTCTACCAACCCTAATTATTAAGCTACTAACTGCTTATCATTAAGCTTTTACTGGATCCATATATCTAATAAAACATTTAAAATTTTTTTCTCAGAATGGAACTATATTGTAAAATTCTTAAGCTTTATTCAAGCGCCATTTGATCATCATGATTAGCTTAAATAAAGTTAAGTCTGTTTCGCATCACATAACTAGATATTATGCCAGCTATTTTGCTTTAAAAGTATGGTTGTTGGCTTCGTTATATAGCACATTCCATTTTGCTATTTTCGTTATATTATTTCTCTAGTATAGGATTTCCCTTCACTCCCATTTGAGTTCCATATATCTTGTCCACTGTGAACGATACTGGAGCCATTTGCCTTAAGTCTTTCCTGAATTTGTATCAATATGACATAATGTGTATGAAGTTTTCTTGAGAAACCTACATATGTATTAGAGCCTGAGTAGTCTTAATACAAAGTTTATTATATTTTGTAGAAATATAAATTTGCAACCAAAAGGTGATTTTGCGCATCATGAACTGGGGGTGTGAGGGTCAACCGCTTCAAAGAAAATGGCATCTTTAAAAACTCCTGGCAAAAATAAGTGTTGAGAATTATGGTGAGATATATGCCCCATAGGCTATGAGGAGGCATCACAATCTAAAAATCTATCAAAAAATGGTTCACATTAACAGAAATAGCCAAAACAGTTTACAATTATATCTTGGCACAACCTGTCACATTTGAAAAAAAAGTTTTTCTTGTACACTGATACACCAAGCCAGCCTGTTAGCACAGACTATCACACTTTCCAAACATTTGGGATTCTTCTAAAGCAATATAAGCTCA